GTGCTGACTAGGGGGAGGGCACAGAAACTTGGTCACGAGTAAAGCGGATTCTATTGAAGGCCAGAAGGGTCTTTGGCCCTCGCGCGTGGACGGTAGAGATGAGTAAGGAGAAGGAGGCGGGAAGAATAGAACTCAAAAATGGAAGCGGAGAAATCTGAATTCTGAAGTGGCCGCGAGTAGGAGCAAAAGGACAGCGCAGCCCGAAATTCCTGCCCCCTGAGCACACAGAAAATAAGAATAAGAAAAGGCCTTCTATTGAGGGCTAAGCAGGGTGCGGAAAGGACACCGTTGTCAGTCAATCGATGGCGAGAGGGGAAGCAACTAGGATATTAGGGAAGACCACAGCATCGTGACGTCAGCTGCTTGACTTGTGAATGGTAGTTTGTCACTGTTTTTTTTTTATTATGTTTCTGTTATATTCCTAGATTGTCGTGGTTTATGTATATATGGGCGCGGGTCAGCGGCGGTAATTATGACAGCAAGTCAATCGGCGGTGCGCGCGGCCGGGCGGGCGCGGCTCGGTATTTTGTGATCGGGCCATTAACTAGAATGGTTTGTTGCGGCGTCTGAGTGTCGTTAGTCTTATTTTCGTGACGCCGGGGGCGGTATCGTTAGCTGTATTTATTTTTGAGACAGGGGGTCACTCTGGCACGGCAGGCGTTGAGTGCGGCTGGCAGCGCAATCCTTCGGTCACTGGCAGCCTTCGCAACTCCCGGGTTCAAGCAATTCTCCGCCTGCAGCCCTCCGCGCGCAGGTAGCTGATACACAGGCTGTGCTTACCACACCCGGCCAAATTTTTATAGTTTTTAGTAGAGAGGTGGGGTTGCTCACATGTTGGCCAGGCTGGGTCTCAACATTCCTGAGCCTCAAGTGATCCAGCCTATTCGCGGCTCGCCAAAGTGGCTGGGACTTACAGGCATGAGCCACCGGCACCAGCGCGGTTGTTTATATTTTTAAAAGGCGTGCGGAGCAAACAGCAGCGCATGGATGCGCACGCGAAAATGCCAAACGGAGCTGCATTTTGGCCTATAATGCGCGGGGCCCTCGTGCAATAGTATTAGAGATATTTTACTTCCTGGGTGCTTTATAAAGAAAAGAGTTGTGGCAGTCCCTAGGTTACAAAATAACGGTTACCTGTTACTTTGTTCCATGGCAGTGAGGGGACTGTTAGGACGGTTGTGGCTGGTACAGGAAGCATGCCACGAGCTTAAGTGGCTGGCGGTCGGGGTGTGCGATGAGAAGGGAGCATAGAGTTATACCCCAGAGGAAGGCAGGAACGATGTGCTCAACAGGGCACATGGCGAGTAAGGCGAGCATCTTAGCATCACTCTACAGACGAAGTTATCTGCTGAGGTCTCTTAATCATTTTAGTGATTCCTTGTGGATAACAAATAGTGGCTGGCAAATATAACAACACTGTGAGTTTTAAGTTTTCCGGTCTTTTTCTCCATCCCATCAGAGGCCTCTCAATGGTCACACCTGGATCCTTATCAGCACCTCCACTCTGTAGACCTGATTTTGAGTATTCCACTCTTCATTCACTGTCACCACCCCTCTTCATTGCTGAAGTTCTGCACTTTGACCTCACTCTCATGCATCATCTATCTTGTTGAGCTCAGCTTCAAGTTCATAGTTGCTTCCCTGCATATACCCTCAATTCCTTTGCCCCTGACTCTGTAACAGAGTTATTTCTCTTTCAGAACCCAAACCAAGTAATAGCTACGTTTCCTTCATGCCTGTTCTCAAGCAGCTCAACATCGCTGAAGAATATCAAACAGACCATTTTCATACTGATGTTTGCAAATCTCAAGTGAATTCTCAGTACTGCTTAGTGATCTTATTATGTTCCCCAACTAAGTTCATTTTTTAACTTTGAGATAATTATTTTACTACTTTCTTTAATTTTTTTTCTAGCTTGACTTGAATACTAGCCTTCTCAATGTTCAACCTTTTTATACATCTTTGAGAAAATACGAATTACCACTTTCTTTTGATTTAATGGATATATCTTTTTTTTCCTTTCACAGGCAAATACTCCTACTTACGTTCTGTTTCCCACTCCTTATTTTCTCAGAAACCTGTTTTTTCTAAGTTTTTTCACACAATTTCTCAAGCCAGAAATCTGCCTGTAAAATCATCCTTGATGCCTTCCCGCAGTATAATTTAATTAGCGAGTATTTGTGATTCCACTTCCAAAATGAAAATCAAATTGGCCCTTGTCAGGCAGTCTCTACTTTTCATCCTTACCAAAGTCACCATGTCTTGCCTGTCCTGTGTGCAGTAGCTTCTTAACTGGCCTTCTTGCCACTGTTCTTGCTCCTGTCGCCAGCACCCGGATGGCCTTGTGTATGTTCACTTGATCCAAGCTGGGCAGGGTTTTGCCGCGGATGACCTGACTGAGCCTTGGAAGACTGTCCTGTATCTTCCCAGAACACGGAGATATGGAGGATATCATTTGCCTCCCGATCTGGGAAGAAGATAGTGAGACAATTTGTCATCACCTGAGTTCTGATGACCTCTGAGACTCTACCTCGAGACACTGTAGCATAGAGCTGCAGCCTATAAACCTAATGACTCAAGATTGGTGCAAAAGTAATTGCCGTTTTTGTCTTTTTTTTTTTTTTAAGTTATTTTAATGGCAAAACTGCAATTACTTTTGCACCAGTCTAATATAATACTTAGCTGCAAAATGGACTCAGCATCTCAGCAACAGAGTGCCCTTCCCCTTATGTACCATTATCAGGTCATCTGGCCCCTTTTCTGTTTGTGTCTTTCTGTAGGACAAGACATATGGGAAGGCCACACCTTTGCATTTTACTGCCTCTGTAAGTACAGTTGACCCTTCCTATCTAAGGGTTCCTCATCCTTGGATCCAACCAACCACAGATGAAAAATAGTCTGGAAAAAAAAGTATGTACTGAACATGCAGACTTGTTTCATGTCGTTATTCTTTAAACAATACATTGTAACAACTATTTCCATGGTATTAGGTATTATAAGTAATCCGGAAATGATTTTAAGTATACAAGAGGATATACATAGGTTATATGCAAATACTACACCATTTTTATATCAGGGATTTGAGCATCCATGAATTCTGGTATTCAAAGGAGGTCCTGGGACCAGTCCTCCACACATACTGAGGGATGACTGTAATAGAGTCTTACAAGGGCTTGTTTCCCTACTGGCCGAATCCATCAGCCTTGCTTGACATTTCCCATTCAGGATTTTGGTACTTATCATTCCCTCTGCCTGTGTTGCCATTCTCTGAGCTTTCACAAGGCCAACAATAAATGATTGTTCTCTCTTCCTTTAGGTCTGAGCTTAAAAGTGTCCTCTCTATCTAAAGCATCTCTACTCCACACACTTGCTACGCTTGGTAATCTCTATCACAGCACCCAGTTTAGGATCATTGAACACATAATGGCAGTGGTTAATGATCTAGGAATGTTTGCTATAATTTCTGGTGGTGAGGGAGGGTGTTAAGTTCAGATTTCCAGTTTGGGTGGAAGAGTTGGCTCGTATAGTTAGCAGACTGGTAGAAAGCCCTGTAGGTCCTTATAAGTTGGACATTTGGAGAGTGCTTTGTGTTTTGCTATCACCAAGCCTCTTAGATTGTAATATCTTGCTTTTAATGTTTATTATCCATGCAATTATCTGAATCTACTATTAGCTCTTAATAGAAAAATGCTGTTATATTCTTATTTGTCTATATCCAAGACTTATTCTTGAGAAAATCCCTCTAGATTACACTGTGATTTCTCTTAAACCTTTTTTTAAAGCAGGTTTGAAAGTCCACATTGTTTATTTTCATTGGTTTCCCTCTGTTTGTGTATTTATTTCTTTGTACCATGTCATGAGTTAGTCAATGTAGGTTTGCTTTAAAATAATATATGTTCAGACCCTTGTAAAATCTTAAATCAAAAACATGTGTGTTTGGACGTTGCAAATACAAATAGTCTGTTAGGCAAAAAGTGTGGAAACCACAACCAAGGTTTGCATCACTTGTTTAATATACAAAGTCTTTCACAGATAGTTATTTTCTTTTTCTTAATTTGCTTTAGTACACATGATTCACAAAACAGTAAATTGTTAATGCAAGAGAATTATGTAAAACCAAAATAGTACAAATGCCTAATTTCAAAAACTGCACACAGTTAAAATAATTTTTCCTTCTTTGTTTTAATGCAGTATCCAATTTCAAAATGGGCTTTCTTTAGATGTGGAGGAAACACTGCAGCCCAAAATAACAGTACTTCCTTTCAACTGTGTTGATATGTAAAATAGCACCATTGGGCTGACTTAGGAAAGAAAAAAGGTTTTCATCTTTCTTAATTAAAGTATTATGTAACAACTATAATAATAATGATATTAGTAACTTTTAAGAGCTGTACTCTGTTCCAAAAGATTCATTTTCAAGGCAAGGAAGGGTAAACTATATGGGGCAGATGGAAGAATCTTCCCACCTCAGTCCCAGGGCCCTTATAATTTCCCTTAATGCTGTCATTGCTCTAATGAGCTAATTTTCCTGCCAAAGAATAGATGTTTTAAAGAGTACCCAAGGACCTTTTGTAAAACAAGATAAAATATAACTATGAGGTCGTCTCTCTGGGACTATAATCGCGTGTAGAAGCAGCGCAGAGTGAGATTGACTGCTGGGGTGTTTTGAAAGACTCCTTCAGTCTGTACCTATCTTCCTGCAGGTTACACATTGCTGTATCAGGTTGTTGGGCTCACTTTAGTTGATTGTGTTCATTTTTATTTTGGTTTTGTACTTAAGCTTGCCTTTTGGGCTTTACTTTTAAAAAAATTGGAATTTCTTTCTTTTACAGTGTAATCTTTGCTCCTGTACGATAAGAGTGATCGTTCTTTAAAAAACTAACAGCATCAGTGTCTGGTTTATGGTATTGATAATACTGAAGATTCATGATTATAAAGAGCCAAGGTTTTTAACACAACGGTAATTTCATTCTTCAATTTTAGTCCTGTTTTTTCAGTTCCATTTTATTTCTTCCATGAGCAGGTAAACATGCCTCAAAATTGGCATTCTGTAGAGCAGTTTTCCTTTTTGAAGGGTATAGTCAGTCCACAAAAAAAAGCACTGCCACGAAGCTAAATCGTTTTATTGTTTGAAAGGGCAAATGTTCCATTGCCACACAGAATGTAAAAATAAAATAATCAACATTAGATTTTAAATGCAGGTAGTTATTTCAGATGTTTGAACCATAAACAACCATTGCTGAAAAGCTTCTTAAAAGCTTGAAATTCAGAACTTCAGGGTTTCAAAAAGTCAGAAGAAGAGCAAAATCAAGTGTTGACTTTTAACCTGCCAGGAAGCGATATTATTTTCTCATTTCAACAATGTCCAAGCCCATAAAAGTTAATTTCAAGAATTTAGATACAGTTTTAAAATCCCATGTCCTCTTTTACTATTAATACAATAATGCTTATCTTTGCTTTTCATTCTAGAAATGTTTTCTTAGTGTTAAGTGTAGCCCTTAATAGATAAGGCTTTATTTTAGCCAATCATCCTCCACTGTGAAATCAACCCTGCAACCTATCTTGTTTAGGTTCGTACAGAATTTAAACAATATTTTCCATATTAATTAAGGTAAATGACGATTTTACTTTCAGAGCAAACAAAAGAGAAATCAACATTTCTTTGTTTGCTGATATCTAGATGTTTTTCTGTAGATAACATATCTGTAAACAGCATGTTGCCATTACTAACCCACAGGGAAAATGGATTAGTAAGAAGCTTGGGACAATTAACACGAAAATTGCATTAAGGTTAATCCCTTGGATGTGGTGCCGTGGTTAAATCACCCACAGATTTGTTATTCATAAATATATTTATCTTAAATATTTAAAATGAGAATTTAAGAGGAATTTAATATACAGTTTAATTTGTTTAAGGTCCACATGTTTTTTAAAACATTACTTATATCCTTATTTATACAGAATTTTTGGTTAAGTTACCTCGACTTTGTTTTCCCTATGCTTATAACAAGTTTTAAGAAAGATGAGTTTTAAATCTTGTGTTTCCTGACTGAATACCTTAACGTTTTCCCCGCATATATACATGAATACACACACGCCATACACACACACAAAATTGACATTGTTTACCTTTTGTTTATTTCTAGGAATCAAGACTATTTGGACTCAATGTCAGCCACTACTAATATTCATACCATCTTTCTCCTCATTTAAAGGTTTGTTTCTTTTTTCCTTTTTCCTATGATCTGTGAAGAACAAGCACACTGATAATTACAAAGTGCATCCATGTGATACCCAGATTTGTGCAATGTAATACTCATGCTTTGGTTCTTATGGCCATCATTGCCTTTTCATGTTAATAAATAATGACAGCTAACATAATATGACACCTTTTTTAATGTAGGATGTCTTTCTTTGACAGGCTACTATATCTATAATCATTAACTCACTGTAATGCCATTCACACATCAGTTTTACATGAATATGCAAAGAACACAATAATCAACTGTCAAACCTAAACAATTAATTACTTATCACAGAATCTGTTGACTATTTTTGCTTTCTAACTGAGCAAGGGAAATCCTGTCAGCTTTTATAAGTAAGGTCTAGATTCTTAGTCATAATTACTCATCTGTCAAGTTGACACCTCATATGGATGAAATAAGCCTTACACATTTGATTCAATAACAAAAATAGGTAATTTTATTCCCCTATCGTAAGTACTTCATAGTAACAAACAAATTAATTTCACAACTTTGCTACAGACAGATTATTTTATCTTTCTATACTTTTGGATTTTTACCCTTTAGAGATGTGAACTTCATCTGACTTTAAAATGAGGATACTTAACTTAATTTAGTGCTTTTAAAAATCATAACTTTTATGAGACTTTGAAATAAAAGAAAGAATGAAACTTTTTTGAAATATTCAACTGTTAAATAAAACAGAAGCTTAGTCTCTAATTTTACGGCTGTGCTATCCAATATAGTTAATTCAAGTTGAAGTGTGCTTTTAAATTACAAACTGGATTTTGAAAACTTGATTCAAGAAACGGATGTAAACTATCTCAATTTTTTATATTGATGACATGTTGAAATAACATATATAGTGTTAAATTTTTAAAAAATCAAAATTCACTTTTACATTTATTTTTACTTTTTAAAATGGGGCTACTGGGAAATTAAAAATTCACATATGTGGCCTGCATTTGTGGTTATTGTGTTTCTATTGGACAGCACTGTATTAGAGGAATCAGAAAAAAATATAAGACCTGATAACTGAGTTCTGTGGGTATTTAACAGAGGTAATTATATCTGAACATTTTCCGAAAATCTTTTGTTCATGACTTAAACATAATTCCAAATATCAATGTCTTCAAGTGTATATTGCATCTATTTAAAAAACATGCATCTGTCAAAATAACCGGACTCCACTATAACCATAAAAATCTGTTAGCTGTCAAAACATATCAAAATACGCATCCTCCAAGTTCTCTTCCAATGTGACTTAGGGATAATGCAGACAATTTCAGGCTTAAAACCAAATATGTTTGTTATTTCCAGATGAGACAGTTAACATTACAAGGCCCTAGAAATAATACACATTGCAATTCAAGTCTGTATTCTTGAACTTTTCCCCTGTTACTTTGAAGAGTATCATGGGTCCATTTAATCTTTGATTACTGCCTAAAAGCATTCATTGCCCCAGTAGTTCTTAATTGTCTTAGAAATCATTCTCTGGCAAACTTCACATTTCCGTATCATACTTCACGCTATACTTCATGGGATCCTGGGCATTTGGTGTGTTTTCCTCCTTTCCTCTTTGAACAAAGTCAGGAAAAATGTGTCAGTAGGAGAAAGGAGGAGCTGAAGAGAGTAAATAATTCAAGATCACTTCTGTCATTTGTAGTGGCTGAGGGCTAGAAAGATATTCTTCGGTGAAGGAACTCCCAACAGGTTCCATCAAACTGATACAACTTCAGGGGGGCCACCCTCTGCAGATGGCAGTGAATTTGTACCTGTTTGTGATACAGGCACTACCACAGCATCCTTGATGTCTGTGTTTACATTGCATGAGAAGTTCTTCTCCAGTTTTTTGGCAGTGTCTGGGCAATTTTGTACAAAGATCACACGGTTGTAGGCCTTCAGCCTGCGCCACAACTGAACGTAGACTTTACACTGGACGTACATGAAGACAAGACCTCCTGTGAAGCCAATGGCTACCACAACCAGTTTTGTCCAAAATGGCCATTCAAGGACACCTTTGAAATAAAAAAGAGAGAATGTTATCACCAAGTTTTCCTCAGTGGATTTGGTCATTTTTTTTCTATGCCCCTTCAAAAGCCCATGCCTGCCTGCTAGATTATGTTAACAAGGAATATATTGTTAATAACTAGAAAGAATTATAACGTGAATTGCCTTAATTCCTTTTGAGTATCCTACATGTACTGTCAAAATTGTATATCAGGAAATTTTCTCACTGTCAAATCTCTTATTTCTCCTAGCATCAAGTACCTATCATAATTATGAGATAATATGTTAGATTTTGGACATTTGGACACTGACATTTATTCCTTACAGCTAAACCTTTAAGGAAGACTGGTGAACATAATGGAAGAATCAGAGTTTAAAATCCTTTTAAGAAGATGAGGGATGGGTACATGCATGGGTTTGTATGTATAGGTCTTTCCACTCTCATTTCTTTTAAAATTTAAAAGGAAGGAATGGAAGAAGGGAGATGGGGAGGAGTGAAAGGGAGGGGAAGGAAAAAGCTGCCACATTTCATCAGAGAGAGAATTCCTGAGTACAAACGTGCAAAATATTTAGGATTTTAGCCATTTGTTTCATAAATCATATTTTATCATTGAGAACCATCACACTTTTATAGATGCTATATTTTCTCTTAATTTCCATCATCATTACTAGAAATAGGCTTTCTTTTGTAAATATACAGTTTTTAAAATTATTTCACAGGTGTTTCAATGACTACAACAGTGAGTATTTAGGCAACACATAATTATGAATGTTAAATATATGAGGGTCAAGAGTGTTAAATATATGAGGGACAAGTGGTCTTCTTGCCCACATTACGATAGTGTGGGGGACAATAGCTGTCTTCCCGTAAGTGAAAAGTTGTGAAGGAGAAAAATATAGCTCAGTATGGCTCAATACGGTGCACTAGGAATGGATGGTAGAAATGTGTAAAAACCACGGTAATTGAGAGTCTATGATCTGACTTTGGATTTTTATGTACTTATAACAGTGAATAGAGTTATAAGAAATATCGTATCTATATTTTGTAGTAGTGACATTGCTTTATGCTTCTAGAAGCAAAGCAGAAGTCATGCCCTGTTTCTGTCATGATGAAGCACTTTGTACCCTAAGATTAACCAAAAAGAACAGGGTTACCTTGTCAATTTCTGGTCCCAAAATAATGAAACATTGAGTATTTCTTATATCCCCAGACCCCGACAAAGACCATTTTATTCTTGACTTTTATTTAGCTCATGTTGCAAGATCTTTCTGGATATGATCATCATGTGATAAGATTTTGTTTTTTCTCCATGAACAAATTAATGCAAACTTAGTAATCATGGTAATCTTCTTTATATTTTTCTTTAAATACCTGTTATGTTTTTCACTTCCTTATCCAGCTTTTCTGAAGTCTGACTCTCTTGAACCTTTGCAAGTAAACTCTTTTTCTTTTCAAAATGCTTTGGCTCTGACTCTTCCTTTGAAATTTTTTGGGAAAAAAATGTTCTCTGATCTTAAAAGGGATTGTAAGAAAACATGAAAAGCCTCTCACTGTTGTTGATGTTTCATTAATTTGTTGCTCTGTTTGGCATTGTCAGTTTAAAATAAATTTCTATGCCTCTTTGAGTAATCAAATCTGAACTTAGTTTTCCAGTAGATTAAATATATGCAATCAAATGTATTAGAACCTTTGCCGGTAGCAAAGGTAATTTTTTTTCTAACTCCTAATATGCAAGGACTTCTTTATGACTTGAATAATTCATAATAGTCATCATCTTGAATATTTACTTAATCCTAATGGAAATAATACTTCAAAATATCATTGGCCAAAGCTCACACAGGAGAAATAAGAGATCATTACAGTGGCAGGTGTAATTAATAGTCAGATAATCTAAATATCCCTAGATCTATTAAAGAAATTAAATCAACAATAACCTGTCAGAGCAGAAAGCACCAAGCTCAGATAATTTTACTAGTGGATTCTACCAAACATTTAAAGAAGAAATGACATCAATGTTCTATAGTCTTTTCCAGAAAATAGAAGAGATAATACTTCCTAACTAATCAGGTGAGACCAGCATTAACCAATACTAAATTCAGCAAAGACAATTACTATGAAGAAAAGTTATAGGCCAGTATCTTTCATGAACAGATACAAAAATTCTCAACAAAATGTTAACAAATTGAATTCAACAATGTATAAAAACAATTATACACTACAGCCAATAGAGATTTATTCTAGGTATGCAAAGTTGGTTCAACATTCAGAAATCAATGTAAACACATCAATTAGCTAAAGAAAAATGTGAATATATCAATAAATGCAGAAAACACATTTGACAAAATCCAACACTCAATCATGATAAAAACTAGGAATGGAATGGAATTTCCTTAATGGGATAAAGAACATAGAAAACCTATAGCTGACATCATAATGGTGAGAAACTAGATGCTTTTCCCCTAAGATCAGGAACAAGACAAGGATGTTCCTTCTTACCATGCCTATTCAGCATCGCACTGGAAGTCCTAGCTAATGCAATAAAACAAGAATAATAAAAGATGATTGGGAAAGAATGAATAAAACTATCTGTTCACAAATGATATGATTGTCTACGTATAAAATCTGAAAGAATTGATAAAGTTTTGTTTTTTTAAATAGGTGATTATGACAACATTGCAGGATACAAAGTTTTACAAAAGTCAATTGCTTTCCTATATATAGCAACAAACAACCAGAATCTGAAATTAAAAACACAAGCTAATTTACATTTGTGCCAACAAAACAATGGCAACAACAAAAACCTTAGGTGTAAACCTAACAAAATATGTACAAGATTTATGTGAGGAAAACTATAAAGCTACGATGAAGGAAATAAAAGAATATCTGAATGAAATAAGATGTTCCACATTTATGGGTAGGGAGACTTAATATTATTAAGATAACTATTCTTCCCAATTTGATCTACAGATTCAATACTATCCCATTCAAAATTCCAACAAGGTATTTTATGGATATTGACAAACTGATTGTAAAGTGTATATGGAGAGCAAAAGACCAGAATAGCCAACACAATGTCGAAGTAGAAGAACAGGGTTTTTGAAAACTGACACTATCCTTGATTACTACCACTACGGTGATCAAGACAGTGTGGTATCAATGAAAGAATAAATAAATAAATCAGTGAAACAGAATAGCCCAGAAATAGACCGATACAAATATAGAAAACTGATCTTTAACAGAGGAGCAAAGGCAATTCAATGGAGAAGGGATAGTCTTTTTAACAAATGAGTGCTAGTATAACTAAATATCTGCATGCAAATAAATGAGTCTGTAAACAGACCTTACCTTTTTCACAAAAATTAACTCAAAATGGATTATAGACCTAAATGTAAATTGTGAAACTATACAACTTCTAAAAGATAAGAAAATTTAGGTGACCAAAGTATGATCTATGAAAAGAAAAATTGATCAATTGGACTTTATTAAAACTAAAACCTTTTGCTCTGAGGAAGTCACTGTTAAGAGAATGAAAAGCCACAGGAAAAAATATTTGCAAAACACATTCTGAAAAAAGGATTTGTATCCAAAATATACAAATAACTGTTAACATTCAATAAGAAAATAACCTAATTACAAAATGAACAAAAGATCTGAAGAGGTATGTCATCAATGAAGATAAACAGATGGTAAGATTATCGATATATGTGATCAGAGAATTGCAAATTAAAACAAGATATCATTATATACCTATTAGAATGGCTAAAGTTTAAAAACAGAACACTGAAAACAATGTTGGAAAGGATGTGGAACGACAAGCAGGAATTCTCATTCGTTGCTGATAGGCATGCAAAATGGTACAGTCACTTTGGAAGATAGTCTGGCCGTTTTTTACAATGGTAACCACAAGCTTTTCAAATGATACAACATTATACTTACTCAAATGAACGAAAACTTATGTCCACACAAAAACCTGCACACAAATGTTTGTAGCAGCTTTATACATATTTGTTCAAAGCTGGATAAAGCAAGTTGTCTTTCAATCTGTGAATGAATAAACTGTGATACATCCATACAATGGAGTATTACTTAGTGATTCAAAAGAAATGAGCTATCAAGCTACAAAAGGATACAAAGGAACCTTAAATGCATACTGCTAAATGAAAGAGGTCAGTCTGCAAAAGCTACATACTGTGTGATACCAACTATATGACATTCTAGAAAAGGCAAAACTGGAGATAGCAGAATCGGTGTTTGCCAACAGTTTAGGGGCAGAAAGGAAGGGATGAATAGGTGGAACACAGGGACTTTTTAAGGCAGGGACACCATTCTGTATGATTCTGTAATGGTGGACACAGGACATTATGCGTTTGTCAAAACTCATAGGACTGTGCACCAAAAGAGTGAACCCCAGTGTAACTGGACTTTAATAATAATGTATGAATATTGGCTCCTCACTGGTAACAAACGTACCATGTTGAGGCAAGATGTTAATAACAGGAGAAACCTTGTGTATGTGCAGGGTGGTATGTGGGAACTCTCTCTTTATCTTCTTTGTAATTTTTCTGTAAACCTAAATCTGCTCTAAAAATAGTATTTTATATGTAATATATTTATATATATTTATATATATTAGCTCCTTACTTGAGATTAGTTCCATGAATTCATCTCTGTGTCTAGGTCAGATGATAGGATTTCTTTGAGTAAGAGATGGGTTTGTGAGCATTTAAATATTTGGAAATTGGTAATGTATGCATGATATATTTATGGAAACTTTATTGCACAAAAACACTCCATTTCGTTTTAACCATGCCCAAGGGAGTTTATTGTGCTTAAAATTTACTGCAGCCCTGCACAATAAATGCTCATGACCTATACCTCTATTTATTCTATCGTCATCCTCAGCTTCCTGATTTCTCTCATCCAGTGCCTTGCTTAGTACACTTTTTCCAAAGTCCTATCTGGGTAGCTGTTTTCCAAACACTGCACGCCCTAATACACGTTCAAGCT